GACCAATGTTAGCAACTTGTAATGCCAACATAATTCAAGAAAAAAGATTTTTAAGGCAAAAACAAAGTGCTTTTTTTTCTAAGGAAAGAATCTCTGTCCAAGAGAGATCGGCTATTTTGCGATCATTAAACGATTTTTTGTGGGCTACTACAAAATTGGTTCTTCAAGACGGTTGATATTAAAAATGAGAGTAGTCTTTTCTGTTGAGTAACTCGATTGAATTAAACTGTTTAGTTAGAAGTTAGTCTTTGTACTTTTGATGTACATTTGTTTTCTAGAAATTGAAATTGGATGACTTAAGCTATTATTACATTCAACATGGACCTTAAATGTCTCTTGCTGTGCTGGTTTATGCACTTAAGATGCACACATCTAAGTTGCAATGCAAACTCGCAATGAATCAATTGCTTGGTTAAGGACCAGAACCAAAATTGTGCACACAACAAACAGTCACACACACGCACAGCACACACAGCACACACACAACAAACAGCACACACACACGCACACATGAAATGCAATAATAGGCCCTTCATAATTAGCTGCTCATGTGTCACGCAGCAAGTGCAACAGCTGAGACGCGGCAGGCAGACGGACGTTTAGGGACGAGAATAAGGTCCTTTTGGCCGACTGAGAATGTGAGATTTGGCGTCAACAGCCAATTTGGTGCATTAGCGAAAACCGTTGGGCAATTACTGTCAAGTAGGTTTGTAGGTTCGTGGATTACCCAAAGCTCAGCGAGTTGCTAATCAAACGCTTCTTCGTGGTAGGGGCCATGAGGGAGTTAATCGGGACATGCCTGGGACATTGAAAAACCAGTTGTCAACCGGCTGAGTCGCTTATAGCACACACAAAAGCAGGCAAGACATCTTTAATCACACACGGCCTGGGCAATCCGTGCAGGTTGCAGTTGTCCCAACTCAATAAATGTCATCATTGGGCTAAAATGTTAATTAGCCAGCGGCACCTCTGGGGCGGCATTTGGGTGAGAACTTGTGCGGCGGAGTCTTGGCATGGATTGCAGTACGTGTGCGACACTAATTACGCTGAAAGCTGCGATTGTCAGCCGAGATTGCGGCTATCGGAAAAGTCCTTTTGTTTTCCAGTTTGAAGCGAATTAATCAGCGGCATGCATTCGACATTGTTATCGGACGTCATCAGCAGCCCCAGCGAGCGCAACAACAATGGACGAAGAGCCAAGGGCCATAACCATAACAATGACAGCTACCATCAGCAGCTAACAACAACAACAACAACAGCAACAGCAACAACAACAATACTGGCAAGGAATCTACCCCTACATACACACACACGCGAGCTAAACAACAAACGGGAGCCTTCTCCATATCTGTCGCCTGCCTTTGATGTGCGCCTTTGACAAGTGAGTTGACAATGTCAACGTCAACAGTTGACAGCCTTATTATGGCATTATGTTTGCCCCTGGATATGCTTGAGCCTCCCGGATACGAATATGGTGTTGACTGTAGATAAAGACTGATGAAGACCTCTTAACGGCGACCCTTATGCCGTTGATACCCAACACCCAGGCTTGATGCAAGATGGTAATCAAGCGCATTGACGCAAACATTTTGCAGCACTGAACGAAAGCGCTTTGTCGACAACATTTTGCAACACTGAAACTAAGAGAACGAAAATCTCTGTTCTATACGGTAAGGAACACTGGCACGTAAGTGAGGCAGAATTTGGCACAAATTATTTCTTATAGAGGGTATTATATTTTTTTTTCATGAAATGTGTGACACATGCTTTAAAAAGGCGCTGAGGCTGTTAGATACTCCTTAGATTCCTGATAGGCTTGGTAATTTTCTTTTCTAACCAACATAAGTTTACTCTTGTCGAAATTTCAAACATTTCTTTACCGGCACCAATCAAACTGCATCAATTAAATTTAAATGTGATGTTGTTTACTTCCTTCATTTGCTTTTACTTCATGAGACCTGTGACTGTTTTCTGTGTGATACATTTACATTTATTTCCTTGAAATCCTATGCCAACTTTTTCTGGAGTTCCATTAAACAATTCATAATCAAAAATTAAATCAACCTCAACACAACTAATCCATATATGGGCCTCGCCTTTCTTCGCAGACATTCAAGTGTGACAGCTAAATCAAATATTTTATTTTTTAGACAATATGCTCGTCAGCTTGTGGACGAACGTCAAACGCCAAAGTAATTACATAAACCAAATCAAATTTTTTTAAAGAAGAAATCAATTATTTTTATCCAATACATGTTCACGCATTGTCATTCAAATGTTGACCAGATGAAATGCGTCATTTCATATTTCATTTCCAATGACAATAAAAAATTCTGCACATATTACTTGTGAAAATCATCAGGACCGCGACCAGGACCAGGAGCAGGCTCTCGCTGTATCCTCATCAACGCGCCGCCCTGTCAGCGACCATTGAGACTTCGAGTGTAAGACATGTCAGGTCCACTCAATGACAATGCAATCCCCCTACACGCTACCCCCGCTATCGGGGGCCTTATACCACTGTCTGTCCCCTTCGAATGGTCATTCCCATTTGGACGAGTGCGTAACACTTGTCCGTCACATCAAAAGCATCAAAAGTTTTGTCATGTGAATGAAAGTTTTGCACCTGCCTTTAATACAAAAACATTGACATAAGTATTAATCCTAAATAGAAATTTCATCAACAGGCAACAACAATGACAGCGACAGGAACCACATTATATAAATATATATATTAATACATATATATATTTATATATATGTATGACAATGACAGCAGCTCAAACTGTGGGCCTCAGACTCGGACTTGCTATATGTCTGTTCTGACGGCAAGTGACAGACTGTCAGCCTGTCTGCTGATGGGCGCTGGATTGTGGGCGTGGGCTTGGGCTGATTTGACATTTTATGTCCAGGTGCAAAAAATGTCAAATAAATTCGCTTATGCTGGGCATTATTTAATGGACAATGGATTTGATGATTAGAATTCAAATAGGCAATGCCTTCTCATATGCTGTACAACATGGTGTACAACAATTTTAAATTCCTTTATAATTTAAACAAGCTTCAATACGATTCTTTATAAAATCCAAAAAAATTGCGCAGCTCTTAGGTTATCCACTTTGGGAATTGTTTTATATAATTTTGAGAAATTTGCCAAGATATGTTATTTTCAATACTTAGACGAAAAATTAATTTAAAAAAAATATAATATACGATAATATGATAATAATAATAAAATAAAAGGTAATATGTAATAAAAAAAATATATATTATTAAATAATTAATCGCTTACAGTAAAATGATTGAATGTAAATATATATTTATATATATATATATATTTGCGTGAGATTTGCATTGATTGGCTAACGTTTTTTTTTTATATTTTTGTGAGGGTACCGAAAAGTATTTTCTTTCGATTACTGATTAAGCTAAGTTCCATTGCAAGTTATTAATCCAGCAATGGCTGTCCTATGCCTTTAAAAATTTTATTAAAATATCATAATTAATTAACTGAATCGGGTCTCAAATGGATTACTGTTAACCTCTTAACAAAAAGAAAATACCAAAAAAATATTTTAAAAAATTTTTCAACTAAAAAGCCTCAAAAAAAAAAACAAAACCGAGTCCGGCAAGTTAACTGCACATTTAATGAACTCAACAGCCGCGAGTGACGCATTGTTCCTTTTTGAACGGTGGCCGTTGCCCAACCGCCAACTGGACTGGGTTCACGGATGTCGAAGGTTCGAGTCCGGGCTTCGAACTCATTTGTCGCAGCGAATTGCGATTGACAAACTGTCAAGCGACGGAATTTGTTGTTTTCATTTTGGCTGCAACTCACGGCAAAAAAAAAGCAGCCGAAATTAATTGAACAATTTAAAGAGGTTTTTTTCCTGCTGGCTTCTGGCCCGGCGGCGGTTACCGCCAGCGGGCATTGGCTGTCGGTGTCAAAAAGGACATGACCGAGCATTTGGGTGAGTGAGTGAGAGATTGTATTATTGATTTTGCATAATAAAAATGTCACACACATGCACAAACACACGCACACACACACACAGAGAGACTAGTGGGTCTAGAGTGTGTACGTGTGTGAGTTGACAATACAGCAACAATAAATTAATTAAGCCGATGAGACAGTTTAATGTCATTTAATAAAATATTGACGTGTCACTGACGCTGATGCTGACACACACGCACATACACACACGACTACACACACATGAAATGAATGACGCCATTTTGTTTTTTGGCTTTGACATCTGATGGGTGTTAAAATCAATTGACGAAATCAATTGGAATTGGCGGTCAGTTGGCGTCGAGTGTCCAAAGCGCATATTGATTGATTGACAGGCGACATATTGGCCAGCCCCAAGATTGATGGCTTCATCAAGAGCGTAGCAAGGCAAGGCATAAGAGAGGGGGGAAAGCGGCAGCGAGAGGTAGGCAGCCAAACTAGACAAACTCATAGATTAAGCGAATTGGTTTTAACTGCAATGCCAGTCACACTCTTCAAATTTGCACATAAATTCACATAATGAAATGTTAATTTTGACACGTCATTAATATATTTTGTCTACCTTCCGATTGCCACGCCCACCACAGCCTCTCCTCCACCTTCTGCTCGACGACCACAGCTGACCATTCGTTCAATTGACAGCGGCAGCGACATTGTAATTAGTTTTGACGTTTCTCGTTGCACAAATTAATTTATTTGACATGTCAGACGACCATCGGATCGGCCATTGACAATTGGCCACTAGCCGCTGCCACAGACGCCATTTGCCACAGAGTCTCATGGTTTTTCAAAATGTGACATTTATTGGCAGAGCGACAAAACACGCACACATCTACATGCACATACTACCTGTCAAATCATCATATTCAACTATTTATATATATATATATATATATATATGTATATATATAAATATATATGTATATGTTTATAGGGTTCTGTGCATGTTTGTGTGCTAATTGAAATTTGTCACATTATATTAGACAACAATTTAGTTTATGCTTTGATTATAGTATAAAGTCAGAGACTTCAAAGGCTAACTGAATGCGCTGATTATCATTAAAACAACTCCAAATCTTTTCACAAAAAAAATAACAACACAAGCTATTTTCTAAATGTAAAGATTATAGAAAACCTGTATGAGCTTCAACAAAAATTAAAATAGAAGAACAAAATAGAACTTCCAGTAATAATCTTATTTATTAAAAATGTTTGCAATTTAAAAAATATAAAAAATGAAATCGAAACATTTCAATCGCAGTTAAATTTTTTCTAAATTTTTTTTTTACCATTCAGCACACTTTTCTCAACACTGGGCACTCAATACACACATTGACTGAAGGGGGATTACGGGAGGGTACAAGATAATTAAGTGTTTCCACTCCTTCAAGCGTCCCAACTCTATTTGCACTTTAATCAATGGTCACTCCCATTCGGTAATTTTCTTCTCGATTCTTTTTACTCAGCATTTTTTTCACTCCTTGCTTTTTGTCTCGCTTCGTTTGAATATATATTTTTGGGGGCAGCGGCATGGTGAAGGGAGGTCAGCAGTTGACACTTTGCATCTTGTGCAATCACCAAATATTGTCAGAGGATGTCAACGTCGTTTTCGTCGCAGTCGGCATCGGCGTCAGCTCCAACTTTGTATCGAAGTTTGCACACAATCAGTAAAATATTTTGGCCATCCTTCGGGGACGACCTCATTTCGTCTTTGTCGTTGTCAGTTGAATGCTGGAGGGGAACGAGTCGAGGATGTGGACGTGGACGTGGACAAGACGACGCTTCGTCGCCTGCTCGGGACTCTTCAATGTTTTTCTTTTAGCCCTGCACATTTTTCCGTTTTTTAATCTTTTGCCTTTCGCTTCTGGTTGCTTTCTAAGCCTTGCCCCTTTCGATGCTCCGCCAAGCCGGAGTCCTGGTCTAGCTGAGGGCAAACTTTTTGGCGTTTCATCTGCAGCACATCAATTTTTGTTGCTGACGAGCAAAAGTTGCAATACTCTAAGTCCAAGGCAATGCCAAAAGCTAGCCACCCACCCACTACACCACGCCCTCCAATGCGAATATTATTCTACTATTGGGTCGCAGGCTGTCCTTCCGGCTGTCTACTGATTGACGGCGACTGACAAGTTTCTCTTCGACTGCGCATTGACTTTTCTTTGCAGTCGTTGCATTTTACGAGTATGTTCCAAGTTCCAACTTGGCTCCTGTTCAGGCCCAGGCAGGCTACGCAGACAATTTCAGTAAATATCTAATCCTTAAGTATATGGCAGGAAGCGTCAGCCCTCTGATGTGCATGTGTTTTGGACCTGGCTATGTGAAATTCTGTCGCTTCGTTGCATAACATCGTGCCTGCCAGACATCGCATTCGCAGCTAACACCCCCAAGCTGCTAGCCCGCCCCACTGGGAACTGGGTAGCCCAAGGAGCTTTTGCCTGTTATTTGCTGGTCACTTTGTCAGTCTTTCAGTCAGTGCAGTTGCACAAAACTGTCTACATTGAGCCCCAACAACAATGACAGCCAACAGACACGAGTCCTTATTACATCTTGGCGACAAGCTCCTTGACCGTATTTTCTTCCTTTTTTAATTTTCTACATAGATTTTGCATGTTTCACTAACAAGTTGCAAGTAAATTTCGATTAAACTATTTCTTTTCTTATCAACAATTTCGGTATCATCTGAATGAACTTGACTTGGCTAAGAATTTTGAGAAACTTTAAAGTTCAAACTAATCCCCAAAAAGTACAGAGGAATTTCGAAATAACGAACGCAGAATTTACAGACTTTTTTTTTTAGAAAATAAAGCTATCTGAAACTACAACAAACCAGACACTAAAAAAAAGATATTACAAATTACATTCATAGCTACTCTGCCATTTCTTCAACTACCCAACGTTTATCAACACTGGAAGTCCACATCAATCAATATGTATACGCAATGAAAAATACATAGCAAAATGTATCAGGATAAGAGAAGTTGTAGAACTCTCAAGAGTAAGAGAGAGAAGAAGAGAGAGCGATGGAGGGAGATAGCGAGGGGTCAAGAGATGAAAAGAAATACGTTGGCTACTTTGTGTGGAGCAGAGTTCAAACCTCAAGCTCATTGCTTAAACTTTTCAACCGACTAAAACCCAAACTCAAACTTGAAACTTCAACTCGGACGTGCATGTGGACGTACAACATATAGCGCATCAGTCAAAAATTGTTCTTGCTTGTCATCAGAGACGTGCCACGTCCGCGTGCAGCGTGGCAGAGGGAAGCAGTTGGAAAAAAGATGAGGAAATGTTGCAAAAGCACAGAAGAAACTTTGATGCTGACCACAAGATAGGCAAATCGGCAAGAAAGTTAACCGAAACGAGCATACCCTTTCTGATTAGAAAGGCGAAGAAATTATAAGTGCTTAAAATATTGTACAAAGTGCTAAGGATTGTATTAAATCTCAACCTTCTACATCATTCGGCTCCAGCTATACACCATGATTGAAACGCCTCAATGGCAACTTTTTACGATATTGCCCTAGTGGCAATACAATTACATTAGCTCTTATATTCCACATTATTCGGCTCACGCCGTACATGATGTTGGAAACATCTTTAAATTAAGGGTATGCATTATCTAATTTACAATATGGTACGAAATGCAATATAATAGAGCTGAAACAGCTAAATTAACTTTTAGTGCCTATCAAACCTTCCACATCTTTCGGCTCAAGCTATACATCACGATTGAAACGCTTTTAAGGTGAGGGTATTTAGCACACAGCATCTATAGCCAGAACACACAGGAAGTCCATATGTGTAGCTTCTGGTTAGTTTCCTAGTGGACGCCGCATTGATGAGGGCCACGTCAATAAAATTGCGGGCGGGTTGGAGGTTGGTGGTTGGACGTTTTGCGAGATGGAAGCTCGACATGAAACAAAATGTCTAACTAAGAAGTATAAAAGAAATGCGCCACGTCAGACTAATCCTTGCGCCATCATATTACAGCATCGTCGGGACGACTGCTTCAGCTTCAGCTTCAGCTACAGCTACAGCCCAAGAGCCAAGAAAACTTGTGAATATTGTGCAGGAGGCGCTCGACTCCTCGCTCCATCTTCGTCTCGCCTTGCCTCTGGCAGCGCCCTCCGCATCAGCCAGTGTGTCATGGAAGCCATCAATCGTTTTGTTGAAATGTGCAATAAAAGAAAAGTCATGAAAACTTTCTGCGCTGCTCGCAGATTTCTCCGAATAAGGAGGTCGTCTCGGGTTGGGTTGGCTTGGGTTGGGTCAGGTCTGGTTTTGGATTCGGATTTGGGCTTGGGTTCGCTGTTAGTTGCCTAATGCCAACGACAACATGGCACGGCTACGACTTCGCATCCGCATCCGTTCGCCTGTCCAAATGTCCGTCTGCCCGTCATTTTGCTGCATTTGACAGCGTCTTGGCGACATTTGACGATTGACGAGGACGTCGAAGACGCTAGCCTCAGTCCCAGGCTCAGCCGATGCTCTGGTCCTGGCTCGTAATGGCCAAGACGTTGCCCACACCCAGCCAGGCTCCAGCTGCCACTGGTCCATGTTGATGTTTTCTGCCACCCAAAAATGTCTCGGGTCAAACTGTCGTTCGCACGTTGAAATGCGGTTCGCTGGGGCATGGGGACAAGGATCCAGGCAAACTGGGCTTGTGTATTGGATTTGCGCCTGACTGGGACTTGACTTGACTGGGAGGTCGGCGCTGGCGTCTTAGTGTCAGCGGCCGAGTCCATGACTGCGGCATCAGGTTCTAGTATTCTCTCTCTCTTACACTCTTTCTATCTCGCTCTCCCTTTCTCGCTCACTCGCAGCAACTGCAAGCGACAAGTGCAGCGTTTTTCCCTCTGCTCCCTTCGGGCCATGTCCTTGCTTCGAGTCATTCGGCTCGGCTCGCTCTATCAATCCGCACAGCACATTGAACGACAGCGTCAGGATTTTTGCAATTTGAGAAGTTGCTACGTGACATTTCAATAATTTTTGAAAAGTTTCTTACTTAGCCCCGCACCTTCCCCGCGCCCACGTCCTTTTCCTGCTTATTTTCGCTTCAGCTTCCTCTTCTCTTTTATTTTATATACTTTTTTTTTTTTTTAGTATTTTTCGCCATCGTCTTCTTTATTTTATATATTTTTATAGTGTATTTTGCGCTGTGTCCTTGGGACAAAAAGCGAAGTGAGGCGAAGCGGATGTGCATGTGGTTGGGTCCTGAGCATGGGCACACGGTTTGGACTGTCGCATCGGGCGGCACCGGAACTAGGAATTTTATATTCTGCAATTTTCGTGACAACGTCATTTTGTCCACGACATTCTGCCTGATGCGTCCTCGTCTTTCGTCCAGCCTCCCCGCCTGCCGACCCGTCTCCATTCCTATGCAAGAAATTTGTTGTGTGCATTAGGAACTTTGACGCTTGACTGGATAGCTGTCAGTGGGCTGGCTGACTGCCTGACTTGGGTGTTGGCTGCTTTTGGGCGTTTGGGCAAGGGTTGCAGATCTGGATGGTTCGCCTCCTTTTGACGTTTGAATTTTGATGCCCCGACAGTTTATTCGATTGTTTTTCTCGCTTTTACTCGGCAAAATTACGGAAGTGCAGCAGATGCCCCCTCCTACGCCATCCACACGCCTAGCCCAACCAACTCCACCCGCTGCTTCCTCAATCTGGCGCTGCTCGGGCTCTGTCTCGGTCTGGGGCTTATGTAAGAACAGAAAATTGCTAGCACAAATGGCGCCCGGCCGTGTCCTAGTCCTGGGTTGCGCCATGCTGTCCGGCCATCTTCATTAGAATTTATTTTTATTGTTTTGCGCAACTTTCAACTTTTACAACTTTATCAATATATGAATATAGATGCGCGCATAGCTGCTTCCATAGAAGCCTTTAATTATGAAAATGCTTTTGACGATGACGATGACAACGACCACAATTGCGATGACGATGATTTCGCTTCCGGCGAGGTGAATTTTAATGTTTAAGCGCCTTAGAAAGGCCATTCAACAGTATTGGATAACGTATGCTAACCTAAGACTGGATTACTTTACTTAAAAAGCTTTAATAAAAATAAAATTGGAGAGCTGCAATGGGACTTTTTTTGAGGGAAAATCGCTGCACAAGATTTCAAAAATTATGTCAATATCTTTTAGTATTTTTTTTAATTCTTGGATCTTATCAAAGCTGGACTTTGACGTTTATAGTGTAATTTTGTGCAAATGATAATACACGAATTATGTTTCGAATTTTCCTTCAGTGGTCTCTCAGATCTATCTCAGGGAATCGACCAAGCAGATTAGCATATATTTATATATAACATACTTTATATATAAATAAATCCATTTTTGTAATTTTTGACCAATTCATAAACAAATCGAAACGAAATAAAATCAAGCTTAATAAAAGTGTATCGAAGACTCGCACTTGCCAATTATCCTTTGAAAATAATCGACTTGTAGAGCAGCAAGCTTTACGAAAAAATTTGAACGTTACACAACACTTAGCGTGATGAGAAAGCTAACCTGTCGCTAAAAATTCATTCTATCGTTGCGTTGACATTGCTCGAACAGCTGTCGAAGTAAAATTAAATTGGGAAATTTTCAACATGTTTATGCAGAAAGTTGATCGCAATGCAATTTACACCGTGCTCTTCCGTTCGGGAGTTATGTTTGCAGAGCGCGCACCCCAGAAGATGCATCCGGAGGAGGAGTTGAAGCATTTGACCAATTTGCAGGTTATCAAGACTCTGCAATCGCTCAAGTCGCGCGGCTACGTCTCGGAACAGACGGCCTGGCGACACTTCTACTGGTGCCTGAACAACGAAGGCATCGAGTACCTCAGGGGCTACCTCCACATGCCCACCGAGGTGGTGCCCACCACTCTGCAGCGCCGCAACGAGCCCGTCCGAATGTCGCGCACCTCCGAAGATCCTCGCTCCCGTGGACCACGTGAGGGCAAGGAGCGCGACGATCGCACCATGTACCGTCGCACTGAGCGTCCCAATGAGACAGACAAAACGGGCAATGTGGGAGCTGGCACCGCGAATGTGGAGTTCCGCGGTGGCTTTGGACGTGGCAGGAAATGAGCAATATACATAATTGCTTTTAAAGCTCAAGTAGTACAAATAAATCTGATATTTACTTTTTAATTTGTCAGTTATTCTAGCTGGACCCACATTCACATGACGTCCGCTCAGCTGGTGAGGCCGACACCTTTCTGTACATGTGTAGCTACAACTTCGACTAGAAAGAATTTGCATTTGAATGGATTACAAGTGTTGTAGGCGACAGCGGGTTACGGCCTCGTGGGGGCACAGATCAGCGCCACACGCTGGCAACAAGTGTTCCAGGTTGTGGTCGTGGAGTTAAAGTTGGATTTGGATTTGGTGTGGTGAATCGTGGGCGCCTGGCTGAGGTCTTTTGCATATCGCGACATGGTCGTGTCTTTGTCGCTGTCTTCGCTGCGAGGCGACAAATAGACTTGTTTGCCCAATTCCCAGCTGCTAATGATGCATTTTCGATGACGTTTCGTGCGCATGCAAATTTTCTGTTTGCTCTGGAGCCGCCAAGCGCGACCTATTATCCAGGAGAAGGGGTCTGAGGCAGCGTGTGTATGTGTGTGTGTGTGTGTGTGTGTGTCTGGGGCGGCATAATCACAGCCATCAGTAACGTGGCGTGCGACATTTATGACACGCTCCACTCCAAGCTCGAAGGCAGCCAACGCGACAGCGTAACATAATATGGCTCATCATCTACAGCATCGCTGTTAACCTCATCAGTTTCAGCCTCCGCGCTGAGATTGTCACCATCAGTTGCAGTTGCCTGTCCTTGTCCCGGTAACAGAGACCGTCGTCGGCGTCCCTGCCCCTGCCCCTGACCCTATCCCTATAGCTCGCCCGCTCATAATCATGCTCATCAACCTCGTCCTCCTCGTCGCGACTGCTCTTGACGACGACGACGACATCAGCATCAGCATCATCATGCTCTCAGGCATCAGCTTCAGCTGCAGGGACAGCACAACATATCACATCATCACTGGGAATGCATTTTGCATCGCTTCGTGTCACTTTTCCGCATTTGGCTGCATTCCTTGCCGCCGCCGCCTCCTACTTGGCGTGTCTCTGGCAGCCGCCGTTGGCTGCGGTCCCAACGAATTATTTGCATGCAAGTCAAGGATTTTGGCGGGCTCAAATGAGTTACGATTCGTGTGGACCAATTTCGAATGAATGAGGATTAATAGGTATATATGCATATGCATACATATTTTTTGCATGCTTTTAATTTTGGCTGTTCCTCCATATATTTGTTGATATACAAGATTTAAGGTTTTGATTAGTGGACAATAGTTTCTTTATATTTTATCTGTATTAGTATTTTTTACAGAAGCTCTGACTGGATATTTATATATTGCATAATATCCAGAAATAAGAAAAATTTGTTTGCGAACAGAAAAACCATTAAATAATGTTTTCAATTAAATGGCGAATATGCAATATTTTTAAGCAAGAAGCATCAAATGTTATTTTAAATTTTTTTGATAAGCCAAGATAAAATATAAGTTTTAATAATTTACAGAGTCAGCTGGAGGATTAAATCGTTGACACGCTTAAGAAAAGAGTAATGTGATATATAATATTTGTCTACGAATTTGTAGTATGGAATGATCTTCCATTTTACTTAAGGAACTAGGGTAGACAAAAAAATGTGCATGTGTGACAACAAAATATCATTCACGCAAAAATATTAATAAAATATTTTATTTTTAAAAGAATCAAAAATAAATGAAAGGACCAAATGTCTCCACTCAGTCTTAAATAAATTGCATCAACCGGTAAATAACACAAAAATACTCCTATTATTCCTTCCATGGGATTACGTGAGCCGTAGCTGTGTTTCTTTCTAAAAATCCTTGTTTGAAAAATATTTATGATCCCCATTTGAAGCAATTTATGACATCCATTAGAACTTGCAGCAACAGGTTCCGTTGGTTTAAGAGTTCAGTCAAAATAGATTAGAAGTTTATCTGAACTTTTTGTTCACTTTACTAAGGCAATGAAATGCACATATGCACACATAGGCGCAAGAATAAATTTAAGTGAAACATATTTTAACAAAAGAAGACAAAGATTCTAAAATAAGCGCCTAAATGAGCTCCTTCTTAGGCGGAGAGTGTTTCTTTGCGCAGCTCTTTGTGAAATTTCACAGCCCAA